TACTCTTTGTAGCTTTATTGGCTATTGGTGTCAAATAAGGCTGAGGTAGTATTTTTCTTTTCCCTGTCATACTAATGTGGAAAATTAGAGGAATAAATACATGGCAGAGTCTTTCAGCTCATTTCAGAGTGAAACTTATTTCTATGGGTTCCTTGTGCACAATACATTTATTAATATATCTTTGTCTGGCTTTACTTGGTTGTCATTCATTCCCATTATATTTAGGTTCACTCAGATTCATTTAAGGAGAACAAACACCAGTGAAACCAGTGATGATGCATTACCCCTGCGAGGCAGCAGTGCCAGCTTGCATTCAGAGCGGGGGAGTTGGGCCTTTTCAAAGACAATGTCCATGATCCATGATTCCGATTCTCCTCAGACTCAATCTTCAGTTTGTTCGGCTGAGCCATAAGCTCCTGAAATGTTTCAGGAGTGAGTCTGTTTGGTTGCTTCTCCTCAGGTGTAGTGGGCTGAGCAGGTTTGGATGGATGGAGGTCCCTGTGGTTCACCCTCTGTTTAGTGTTCCCCTCAGTACCTGAAGTTTTGGAGTCAGCCTCTTCGTCTCTCTGACCTCTCCACAAACACAACCTCTCCTCCTTCTTGGTTGAGTTTGGACTCTTGAGGCCACTGACCTCTCCTTTAACACCACAGGTGGCCTCATATCCCATATCCCAGCCTGGGCTGATTTCTGGGTTGCAGATGTTTGTGAGGCAGCCTCACCTTCTTTTCTTTTTCTTGCTGAAGGAGGCATAAGCACAGCCAGTGTAAACTGGGCAGAACATCTGGTCTTAGACAAAAGCCTGTTTACAGATTTAGAAATGATTTTAGCTGCACACAAAAGACAATCACAATAATCTAAGTAAGAAATAATAATGGTATGAGTGACTTTCTCTGTACCGGGACAAGATGTCAGCAAGCTGCATCTGTCTTTTGATTAAGATGTTACAGTATATAATGTCTCTGGTCTGCAACCCTGCTCCAGCTGGGTCCTGTAAATCCTGCTTTATGACTTGCATTAAAGGTCCCATATCTGACACATTTCCTGTGTTTGATTTGAAGTGTTGATCATTAGGAAGATATATTTGTGGTTTTAAGAACCAAAAAACCATCTCAGTGTAGTTTCACTGGCTTCTCTCTTGAGCTCTAGTAACAACAAGTCAGTGAGCCAATCAGAAGAAAGGCTCGGAGCCTCCTCCCTTCTGATTGGCTCACCGACCTGACTGTTTTCTGTGTGATCCAATATAAATATAGCAGATTTCGTGTAAACACTCGGAGAAAACAAATCCTGCAAGGTTGGATGGTGGATCCAGGTGGGCGGGGCTTGGAGCATGGCTGAGGGCGGTGACTGTTTTGTTGTGACATCACAAAGTTACAGAAGTCCTGACGGCTCGTTTTAAGGCTGAGTTTCTCAGGTCTTATTTTGGTAGCTTTGACCATCCATCCCATTGGTAATGGCCAGTTTCACCAAGTTGATTGCTGGATGTGGAAACAAGTAGTTTTGGTTATCAGTGGCATGCCATTAGGACAAGTAAGGCAAGCGGTGAAAAAAGAAAGTGATGAGCAGAATTAAATTTTAAAAAGTGGATGAAAATATTCCTGCAAACGCAGTGGTTAAGTTCAAGTTCAGAAATTGTTTTTATGAAAGTTCATAATTATTCTATAAGTGTTACTTTAACAGCTGGAAGAAATAACCTAACAGGCCTCACAGTTTAAATGTATTAAAAATCAAAAACTGAAATCTCTCATTTGGAGTATTCAGTCCTTTAATCCAGTTGTTTGTAGAAACCCTTACAGCAGCAGCTGCAGCTTTGAGTCTTCTTGTGTCTTTACAAACTTTGCACACCTGGATTTGGGCAGTTTATCCCGTTCTTCCTGGCAGATCCTCTCGCCAGATTGGATGGGAAGCGTCTGCGAGCTGCCATCTTCAGGTCTCTCCACAGATGTTCTATGGACTTTGGCCAGGCCACTCAAGGACAGTCGGAGTCTTGTCCTGAAGCCAGTCCAGCGTTGTCTTGGCTGTACGCTTCCCATTGTCGGGCTGACAGGTGATCCATTGCCACAGTCTCAGGTCACGTACACTCTTGACTAAGTTTTCTTAAAGGACCTCTTTGTATTTGTTCTGCATTTATCATGACCAGCCTTCATGTCCCTGCTGCTGAGAACCCACCCCATATGATGCTGCCTTGCGTCACCATGGAGATGGTATGTTTGGCCATTTGATTTTTTAATACATTTTCAATAATTTCTAAAATCATGTTTTAAACTTTAGCATTATGGATTATTAAGTGTAGATTGATTCTCAAAATGACATTTTTTTCCCATTTAAAACTGAATCAACACAATAGAATGAGCAAAAACTGAAGAGGTCTGAATACTTTCTGAGGCCAGTGAATCACATGAGTTACTGTTACATCAGGCTGTTTTGTTTTTGTCATTTTGAATCAGGTTTTCACTCAAGCTCCCTTACTGCTTCACTGGTAAAGGTTTGGATAAAGTGTTTTTTTGGTCAGGATTTGAACATAAAGTGCTCTTCTTTTCTTTTCTTTTCTTTTTTTCATTTACTTTCATAAAACGAGCTAATTTCCTATGTGATCAGCAATTATTTAAAGCAAACTGCAAGAGCGGTTAGACTGAGAAAAACAAGGCCACCGCAGTCATCTGTGAGCGTTTGTTGATCTGGGCCTTCAACATTTAAAACTAACAATAAGCAACAGTTGTGGAGAGCTCGTACTGACAAATCTTTACACCATTTATTTACACCAGGTGCATCTTTAAGTGTTGCATGCCTTGGTGTCAGTCCCTGTGGCTGAAACATTTCACTCTTTTGTGACTCTTAGACTGGAATGATCCTGTAGTCATCAATTATGCTGTTGTGTTATTTTAAGCACCTCGATGGGCGTTGTTTAACATCACCTATGTACATCAAGATTGACAAGATTGATTACTGTGTGACTCACTTTACTATATGTGCAACTTGCGCTTTACATGCAAATTTTAAACATGTTTTGTTCTTTGTCATTCTGCTTTCCGTCTGTATTCCTCTGTCAATGACTGTTGTGTAAGAAACACAGACTCTTCTAATTTAAATTGAACAATGATGCATAATGATGAGGTATCATATGATCGGTGGAAAATGATCGGGGATGTTTTGAAATCTCTATTGATCAGCTGCAGCAGCCTGGAGTGAATGAGTCTTAATGATGACTTTTTGTTCTACATTACAGTATCACCAAGTGCATGACATCATTTTCCTGTTCAGATGAAAACTCTCGTGCAAAACTGACTTGACTAATACTAATCAGGCCTCCAAAGACCTTTTTCCATTTTTATGTGATTTTCTATTATAATATAGCCTTAGTACATTAAAGGGACTGATCCCCTTATGGAAAAACACCTGATTGGCATTTTGGTTTTGCTCTGATGAATTTCTCATAATTCCCTGGACGGTTGGATGGAAACATACAGTATCTTCTACGTAGCGGAACAAATGTCCTAAACTTTCCAAATCAACAAGGTTTGACGGTATATCAAACCAGATGTCAAATTCATCGAGTTGAGCTGATGACGGACAGCTGATCACTCGGTCAGCAGCGCTGTAAAGTTGGACTGTTGGTCGGATGGATTACCATGAAATTTTTGTACATTTTGTTGATTTTATGGAAAATTATCGCGGTGGGGGGGGGGGCTGAACTTTGTTTCTTATTTTAAAAAAGTCAAGCATTATTGATATTTATTTTAGATCCTTTACTTGACATAGAAAAAAAAAATTCCCCTTACATGTCAACATACAGCACTGAGGTGGTTTAACTAATATTATCATTACTAATTTATACAGGGAAGACAAAAAGAATTTAACTTAATTTTATGTACCCAAATTTAAGCTGTAATATGTAAATGGAACAACAGTTCTATTACAGACATAACAAAAGTGTTAAAAAATGATACTCACATTATTTTTTAATGAGTGAACCAAACACAAAGTGTCTTGCTGAACCTGGGTTTTATTGTGGGCTAACTTTATATGAGACACTTAATTATGTCTTTTATTGTGAAGTTAGGGATGAATATTTGTAGAAATAATATTTGGTCATTATATCAATAACAATGCAGTGATTTGTGTGTTTATATAAATGGTCATATTCACTAAAACCTAACTATTTTCCTTCTCTCTCTTGCTCTCTCTCTCTCTCTCTCTGTGTATAAATATTTATATATATATTAGATAGATAGATGATATATTTTTTAATTACACTGTACATTCAAAAGCCCAACTAGGGACAAAAGTTGTTCATGCTTCATGTTAAATTGCATCATCCCTATTAATTCATTAAATAAATAAATAAACTAAAGTAAATCTTACAAGTAAAGGCTGAAATAGAATATGTGACACTCTGTAAACTCTGTAATAACAGCTGTGAGGTTGTGCTTCTGTCAGTCAGAGGTGATCAAACCACAGACATGTCGTCCTGAAGAAGCAGACTTTTATACAAATAAAATATTTATATATCTTTTTTTTTTTACTTTAATAAACTTTAATAAACACCAAATAGCACAAATATATTTTTTAAAACATTTCTCCTATCGCCTATATAACACATTAGAACAGATGTAGGGAGCAAGAGGCACAGCTGGAACTTCACGTGCTCAGTTTAAGAGAAGAAGCGTCTTTTAATTGCGTCCAACTAGTAATTACCATATTTCCTACAGTTCTTGAACCTTCCATCTGACGCATGGGAAGTAAGTGTGTGTGTGTGTGTGTGTGTGCGCGCGTGCGTGCGTGCGTGCGTGTGTGTTGTGTGTGTGTGTGTGTGTGTGTGTGTATAGGCCGCTTGTAGTCTTCTGTATGTTGAAGCGTTCATAAATCTCTGTCCAGCCAATGGGGAGGCTCGCGTTAATCCCAGCTCGGTAAAAACCCAGAGGCGGCTCTAATCTGAACAGAGAGTCAGTGGAGACAGAGAGGGAGAGAGGCAGAGGAGGGACTCCAAGTTTCTGTTGTGGACATGTGAGACATTTCTACAAAACTTTCCCGTCGCTTTATTGCATTCTCTTTTGGAGGTTTGTGAAGAGGAGCCGGAGAGAGACGCGCCGGTGCTTGTCTGCGTTTTTTCCGCCTCATCCACAGTCATCCTATTCATCACCTGCTCTCCTGCCGCCGCCGCTGCTGCTGCCGCTGCTGCCGCTGCTGCCGCTCACAGAAAAGAACAAACAGACCCAAAGACACATTCTCTGGACATTCCGTTGAGTCCGGTCGTCATGTCCTCCGGTGATGCCTCGGAGCAGAGTCGGCGGGTCAGCGTGCTGTCTTGGGATCAGGTGCGGCGCTTGGACTCCATCCTGGGAGAGAGCGTCCCGATCCACGGCCGCGGAAACTTCCCCACGCTGTCCGTGCAGCCCCGGCAGATCGTCCAGGTGAGACCACGGTCCATTCAGTTACCTTTTAATATTCACATTACCCCTCTGAATTAAGTCTGCAGGAGCCAACATGACAGTAGTGATGGAGTAGAGGAATAAAACGTGGATTAACTCACTCAAACAAACTTAAAACCATTAACACGAGCAAAAAATGTACTTTCTTATGCAAGAAATAGTGTAACTTCTATTAGTTTGACTTAGTGGGTGATCAGCTATAACTACTTTTATTAGAATACTTCCCTGGGCGAGATACATTTTTAATACATGCTGCTTTTTGATTTCTGTTGATTCAGTATATGAAACAGTTTGAATATCACAAGTGTCATGTTAATTAAAAAAGTGGGAAAAAATAGCTTTACAGTAATCCTCCACCCCCACCTAAGCAAACACACATAGACACACACACACACACAGACACACACAAAGACACACACAATCTGTGGAGTGTTGCACTAGACACTTTCTTCTTGAAAATTCCCACATCAATTGAAGCTACTTCCATAAAATGTGACATAATGTCTCCGCATTGGTGTCATTTTCCACATTTGTCACATGAATAACTTTTTAAATAGAAATAAAAATGTATGTATATATATATATATATATAAGATGGACACTTTTCAGTAGATGTCAGATTTCCAAAAAGAAATAAAGTAAATCCACTTGTTGCTCTAACAATGACGATAAAATCCCCCTTTGCTTCGTGTGTTGACGTGCACTTTTACAGAATTATATTTGTGCAGTGGTGGGGATTTGTGGCAGAGCTGATTACACTTAAAAAGACATTTGATCACTCTCACTCACAGACATAAGAGTGGGGATGATCTAACACCATGACTACAGTTTTCCACTAGCTCACGAATGCTTCTGCTCCTTAAGTCTTTTTTTTTTTTTTTTTTCACAGCTCTCGTGAAAACGAGGGAGAGATAATGACTCCAGTGAATTTACTAGGAATGAGACGTATAGGGAAGAGCCTGGGCTGCAATTTTCCTTTACAATATTTAAATGTCTTTGCCTGTAATCCAGGTTTAGGTTTCACTTGAGTGATTCACATTTTCTGTGGTGGCCCTGTGGGGAAGAAAAGACCCCTCAGACACACACAGCATTTCAAGGTCCTCTATAATCAGGGAGGCCCCTTCCATCTGCATTGAATGTCTCCGCTAATGTCTTTTTTCTTCATTACACAATCCAGTAGACAAGAGGGACCCCAAACATTTTTCTTTCCACGAGCCAGAGCACTTTTTAAAGACCAGTTAGCTCCACTGCTCAGCCAGTGTCTGATGAGAGGCACCAGTGTGTTTTCCTCTGCCCCCAGTAGCTGAGTGCTAACACGTTAGCATGTTGGATGTATAGCTTAACCCCCAAAGTACAAACATAAACACTTTAGTGATCCAGAGTTGGTTTTCTGTATGAAACCTGAACATTTGTAACTTTAACTGTTGGTGAAGTTTCAATTAGCGGTGCTAACGCTAATGCCTTATGCTAATGCGTTATGAAAAGAAAAGACGCTACGTTTGAAAAGATGCATAAAACACACATATATATAAATTATGTGTATTCTATTCATTTAAAATAACCATTCAACTTTAGAGGTTATACAACATCTCGTGTCAGGTTTAAGATAATGCGAGCTGCCAGTGATTAAAACAATCCATATGTCTCAGCTATACCTCTGTCTGGTGCCTATGCTAACGATATAGCAAAGCACGTAGCACATTTACTACAAATGACATTTATTTTACACTTCTCATTGACCATATTTTTGAAGCATGCTGTTTTAAATACTGCACCTGTAAGTGTAGACTGATGTGAGACGTCTGCCGTGTCACGCTGCAGCGAAGGTATTATTTTTGACAAAAATAAAAGCAGATGCCATGTTCTCTGTCATGGAATATGTCAGGCAGCTTTCAAGTTTCTGCAAGTTGATCTTCATACCATATGGACATGAATGGAAACCAGTGGCTGCCTGGAAAGGAGGAAAAAAAAAACAAAAAAAACACACGCTGAGTGATCTAAACCACTATGATATGTTTTGGAAAATGGTTGACAGTAATGTGGGGTATCCATGATTCATGGTAAATTGGCTAAAACATGCAAAACCAAGCACCACCACCAAGTCTGCTCCTTTTAATGTCATTTATTTTTAGCCCACGCACCAGACAGAGCTGTCTACCTGAGACAGATAGAGATGATTTCACAGCCGTCACATCCTGGGGTGAGGTGACCACCGGATCACACTCCCAGAGAGTCAGAGGAGCCCCTCTCAATGGTGGGTTTGTCTCAGGGCCACATTTAAATAACATCTGTTTGTGGTCTGGTTGTGAGTGAGCCATGGGAGCGAGGGAAGGAAAAGTTTTACCGATACTGGCACTCCCTGACTTCATTTAATGTTGACAGTCATCAGCCCACAGTCTGGGTAATAGGGCGACCATAGCAGGCCATACCTGGTAGCGTCGTACCACATGATGATAAACGCAGATATCCGATGCGTGTGTAATAGCTTATGTAATTTGTTGTGTGGGTTCATGTGAATGAGGGGGGGGGGGGCAGTGTGTTTTTGTTGGCCACCAGTATTATTCCAGCTCTGCAGGGTATCGTATTCAAACTAAACCGTTGTGTCTACATATTTGAGATAAGTGCCCCCTCCCTCCCCTCCCCCCCCCTCCCCTCTCAGTGACCTGCTTTGACCATTGTGATCTTTTATTTATTTATTTATTTTTAAACTCAGAGTAATACTCCACTTTCCTGGATGGCAGCGAAGTCGCCCGGACTTGGAGCAGAAAGTGAGGGGTGGATTAGTGCCTGTAACAACACTGGGCTTGTGGGTCAGGCTTGACAACGTATCACTGTGGTCAGTGAAAGCCAGTCGCCTGACTCCGCCGCGGCCCTCGCCAGACTGTAAACCGACTCCTCACTGGGCTATTGTTGTGAGATTGAGCAACATGAAGACACCACATGCTTCCTGGGGTCCCCAGAGAGGGTAACCTGGGAAACACACAGTTTAGATTGTTGGGTAATGATTTATTAATCTTCCTGCTTCTTGGGGAGCAAAAAAGTTTGGACAGCACTGATGGTATCTCTTCAGTTGGAGTAAGTTAAAGCGGAGTCTCTGTGTTTAATAGTGCCAAAGTGGCTAACGCTGTTTGATGAGTATTTGTAGGCTTTATATTTGTTCTCTTAGACCAAGGAAAATAAATCTGATTTAGTGTCCTCCTTTGAAGCATCATTCAGACCTTTTCATCGGGAAGTACAATTTGTGACAGATATAATTCACCAGTTAACTGAATAAATCAAATATGAAAAGAAAAAGATGAGAGGGTGGTTTATATTGGGTGATTTTTGTAGAATAAAACATACAGCAACAGACATTTTTTTTACATTATATCCATACATATAAATTGATATTATAAGGACTCAATTTATTTATTCTTACCATACTTACTTTAAGAATCCTATCAAATAAAGTTTGAAGGGTCTGGGACAATAAAATGTCTGTGAACCCTTTAAGCAGATGAACAAACCCTCCACTGTAAACATCCATCAGGTAGAGGAGAAACGGCCCGTGACTCACTCTGGTCCGAGCATCCAGGTGAAGTGACCACCCGTGAATAGGAAGCTTTTCAAATCGGAGGAAAAACCATCATCATCATCATCATCATCATCATCATCATCATCATCATCATCTCCCGCTGCCTGCCAAGCTACTGTACGACTGACTGGCGGGGTTAGTTTTGGAGTGGATGCGAAGGTCAGGGACTCGTAACTTCTCATTCACTGTCGCCATTTCCTTGGCAGAAGGCTCGCTCTGACTCGCTGCCTGGAGCTCTTATTGGCGTCCGGGGGACTATGGGCTGGTAAATGGCCGGGTCATTTCAAACTGCTATAATAAAAACACATTCAGGCCACAGCTTAAATGAAATACTCAAGGAAACTATTGAGACTGGAGAAGGCAAGTGGAGAGACTGTTATGTGTCGCCAAGGCGTTGTCATCACCAGACAGTCTGGTGTGTTTGCGGCTCTTTTTTTTTTTTTTTTTTTTTTCTTTACAAGGCTTTTCTGCTCGAACGTCAGCGGAAGTGTCTCCCTCTCGCTCGACTCACCAGGTGCTGGTGCGTCATGTGGGAAATGTACTAGCCGATTTTATGAGTGCTGAAGAACGGGCATGGTGGTGGTGGGGGTGGGGGAGGGGGTGGTAGAGCTGGGCTTCCTCATACGTTCCTTTCAAGGACCCCCCCCCCCCGACAGGCAGATTACGGCGTGCTGTTAACTCGGACCAACTGTTTAAGTCTTAGGTCAGAGCAAATACTGCTGTGGGTTTCCCTTTGCTGGATTCCCCCTCTGCAGTTTGTCCAGTGACCCTGTGAAGCCATGTGTGTTTTCACTCTGCAAAGCAAATGACCCTTTTTCTCATTTGGAGTCTGAAATTATATGTTCTCTTTTGCTAAAGCTTGGTTACAAAGTTCAATATAAATAGCTAACTGCTAATATACTTTAAGTGTTTTTGTCTCTCGCTGGGTTTATGTGACAGAGAACTGGCGGATAAACTTATTTATCATCGTAACCTTTGTGCTCTGAATCAGAAGTGTTAGTCCAGCTAGCCATAAACACTGGACGCTAAGGGAAGATTGTTTATCATTTTATAAATCCCTACACAAACATAAATGCTAAAATTCAGTGTGTAGTTTCAGGGCGAGTTGTATTCTGTAACTATTTATTAGCAAACAATAGTTTATTCATCTTGTACTAATGGGCAGCATTTCTAGCTAGGTAGCTACAACAGCCAACAGATAAGTGACTCTAAATCCAAATTTCTAAACAACCAGATAGAGCATGTAAATATGAGCTTTAGAGACATTTTCAGGAGTTTTTTCTTAAATATTTTGGATAGAGCTAAGCTCGTTGTTTCCCCTGGTGTTTAGCTCGGCTAAACGCGCTAGAATCCAGCTCCCTGCCTGACGCACGGACATAAAATCTGTCTTCTTATGGGATTCTTGGAAAGAAAGCGAATGTGATTATTTTCCAAAAATGTTGAACTCATTCCTTTAACATCATTTTTATCTGAAACGCAGTGGAAACAGTTGGCTGTTATCCACGAAAGCAGAAACCTGAAGCGATTACAGCAGGTGAAGTCAAAGGGAGGGAAAACGAAAATTAATTGCAACATAAAAAGCACATTGCTCATTTCACTTCCCCTAATCTTGTGTATTTTCTGGCCGCAGTAACTTCCTTAACTGCTGAAAAAACTGACAATCACAACAAAATACGCAAGAAAAATAACATTCTGCACCACAAAGTAGTCCATCTGAATCCTTTGTAACTGTTGAATAGAGGAGCGTTATTAAAGAGAGATTTATTGGATAAATTTATGAAGTTTAAATTCTGATAGGATTACCTGGCCGGGCTGGATGTCTGTCTACATGGATTGACAGCCAACAGCTGATCCCGATGGCTCAGCGAGAGCGTCTTCGAGTGGACAGCTGTGTGTATGGACTTATTGTTTAGCTGTTTTTCTCCTTCTCAGTGTCGTTTGACTGATGCAACAGACAGGAAGCATAAACATCTCAGCTGTCTGTAGCTCAGCACTTTTCCCAAGTATCGCATCAGTGTATGCACGGTGTGTGTTCCAATAACCAGATAAACCCTTTTCCTTGCCAAAGAGTGTTTATAGGACAGCAGAGGGGGAGATCATATTTTCTCAATACAGGCCACAAGTTTAACAGTTCACGGCTTTTTTTTTATTTTGAAGTCTCCTACAGCAGACAGGCACAGACTTGTCCTTTTACACAGCTTATCTCTGTTGTGCTGATGTTAACATATACATTGAACAGTAAGTCTGCTCTATCAGCCTCTCAACTCAGTAGAAGTCACTGCACAGAATGTAGGGCGCTGTCACCCTCAGGAAACAAGATCTTTTATGGATGATGATACCATTCTCTGAGTGGTGGACTTCTTAGCAACCACTTTGTCAACAGTGTCCTCTAGCAATACACTGAAAGCCTACCTGCTTCAGGAATCTGCCACTGGCCTCACCTGGCTTTCCCTTCATGCGATGAAATATTCAAAATATGCTGCAAATCCTGCAGCTGCAAATATTTTATTACTCTATCGAGGTCTTTAATTTATAACAAACTTGTAAATTTTGCTTTATATTCAAATGGCAGCACATCAGATTGTTTTTATTTTAAACTTTTTATTTTATTTTAAAGGAGATAGCAGCTTTTTTTTTTTTTTTTTTTTTTTTTGCACGTACGATATTGATTTTTCTGTGTCAGCCTCTTATCTGTTTTGTGGATACCCATCACTCAGCTTTCCCTCCCTGTCTCTGTATGTTTCAGGTGGTCAGGGCTCGACTGGAGGAGCGAGGCGTGGTGGTACGTGATGTCAAGCTGAACGGCTCGGCAGCCAGCCACGTGCTGCACCAGGACAACGGCCTTGGCTACAAAGACCTGGACCTGATCTTTGGCCTGAATCGAACTGATGACAAAACCTTCCGGCTGGTGAAAGACGTGGTGCTGGACTGCCTGGTGGACTTCTTGCCCGAGGGAGTGTGCAGGGAGCGAATCACAGCCCTCGCCCTGAAGGAGGCGTATGTGCAGAAACTGGTGAAAGTTTGCAATGAGACGGACCGCTGGAGCCTCATCTCGCTGTCCAACAACACCGGCAAGAACGTGGAACTAAAGTTTGTGGACTCCCTGAGAAGGCAGTTTGAGTTCAGCGTCGACTCCTTCCAGATCACTCTGGACTCGTTGCTGCTGTTTGACCGCTGCTCGGAGACGGCCATGTCCGAGACCTTCCACCCAACAGTGCAGGGGGAGAGCATGTACGGAGACTTTGAGGAAGCTCTGGGTCACCTTTGCTCCAAGACTATCGCCACCCGCAGCCCAGAAGAGATCAGAGGCGGCGGGCTGCTGAAGTACTGCCACCTGCTGGTGCGCGGCTTCCGGCCGTCCTCCGAGGCTCAGATGAAACAGATGCAGCGCTACATGTGCTCGCGCTTCTTCATCGACTTCCCCGACATAGGTGAGCAGCAGAGGAAACTGGAGGCGTATCTGCAGAACCACTTTGCGGGCATGGAGCACAAGCGCTACGAGTACCTGGTGACGCTGAGGCGAGTGGTGGACGAGAGCACGGTGTGTCTGATGGGCCACGAGCGCCGGCAGACGCTGGCGCTTATTTCCGCCCTGGCGCTGCGCGTAATGGCCGAACAGAACGCTATCCCAGCTCTGGCCAACATCACCTGCTACTACCAGCCCGCTCCCTATGTCAGAGACGTCAACTTCAGCAATTACTACGTGGCACAAGTTCAGTCACCCATCGCCACGTGCAGTAACTCTTATCAAACGTGGCTGCCTTGCAGCTGAGCAATGTCTTAGGATGTCTGGAGAGCTTTCCGTTTTAACTTTACGTTGATGTAAGCTGAGCATTTATTAGCGTGCTCGGTACCTCTGTAGCAATGTGGCTTTTTGTTTTTAAGGCCCAATGTGGATGGAAAGGAATTAATCTATCTTTGTTTTGTTTTTGTTTTTTTTTTGCCAAATCTTATATCAAAACCATTCCACTAAATTATATTGATTAATACTGCTGTAAAAAAAAAAAAAAAAATTCTCATTCGAGCCATTATAATTATACCTTATTTTTTTTTTTTTTATTCTGTTGTCATTTCATAACCAGTGTGGACATGCATGGACAAATATGAAGGGTTGATATGTGACGGAGGAACTTTGTTACTTCTCTTTCTTATCTGATGGAGGCTTGTGATTTGTGTCTTTAACGAAATGTAAATACTTGGTACGAAACGAAACAGAGAGCTGTTTTTTTTTTTTGTTTTTTTTTTTTTTTTGTTCTGTCTGTGGTTTTCTGACCTGATTGAGAGGGGAAAAAGAGGACCAAAGAAATACTTTCTTGTGTAGCATGACAAAAACAAAGAACTGTATGTGGTTCCAAGTGCCTGAAACTGACCAATGTCTTTATACAAGTTGCATTGTAAGAACTGTTTTTTGAAACTTTTTTCAGGTTACTGTACATTTCTATATCAAGGGTCAGGGTATTTGTTTTTAAATCATTAAAAAATGACAAAAATGTAAAGATGTGGTACATTGGTCTTTCTTTACACTTCCCCCTGACGTTCGCAAGATGAGGACAAGCTATTTTGATGTGCTCCAGTTGGACTCGCGTTATTCCGGGGATGTGCGTCATGAATGCCTACTCTATCTCTATTCTCTGCATCTGACTGTCTCAGTTTCCGTGTCTCTAAAGATCTTTTTCATTATCTATCTTTCACTATCTTTCTCAATCACACACAAGCTCCACAGTGTGTTGTCTGTGCTCTATCAGCCAGACACTGACTGACTGGAAACAAACACTTACTTGTTCAAGCTCGAGATTCCCCTGAGCCCGAGCCTATACATTAGCCATTTCCTTCCACTTGTGCATCCGACCAGGGGTTTCCTCGGCTCCATTCGGACAGGGGAGATCGCCGTTGCTTGTCTTGGATGAGTTGAGCTGTGAGGGGGCAGCTGAGGACCAGGTGGTGAAACGGGACTGCTGGCTTTTCAGCGAAAGTAATGATGCAATTCCAGCACTTCACTTCCTGAATGATCAAAACAGTTCAACATTTCATTCCCCGCTTAGACCAACATTCCTCCCGTGCTGACTTTTTTTTTTATTTTTTTATCCTAATTACTTTTGCATGGGGGATGATTTCTTGAGATTTAGTAGAGCATGAAATGGCATGTTGCTGGGACACACCTGTTTACTGTTGCCTCCGTCTGACGGAGACAGAAAGCACTTGGCCACAAAGCAAGTGCTGGAACACTTGAGTGAAGCACTCAACTGATTTCTTTATAAAAGTTAATTTGGAAGCAAAGCGTCTGTCAGAGTGATTAAAGGGGCGAGATATAAATGCGACGAGGGAAAATTTCCTCGCTGGGTTAGCTGTCAGACTCGTCTGCACACTGCTACAGAAACACTTAAGGAAACACAGGACACCCCTGGAGATTTCCACTGGAATAAACACGTATTAGCGTCGCGACTGAGACGGCGCTTGTCTTATCTTTAACAAACCAGTGATTCCTGCGACTGGGGACCGGACCTCAAGAGTCAACCAAGAGCGCTGTGAGGTGCATCTCTGGAAGTGTATAATAATAATTAACAAACTACAGCAAGTTGTCAATGTTTTGAAGGTTAATTAGCTCAAGTTTAATCTCGATGAAGCCTTCCTTTTTTTAACCCGCCCTTTGTGGCGTGGCTCTGATTTGTTGATCTATTCATCTGTTGCATCAAATTCTTTGGTCCAAACTGGAATATCTCAACAACTACTCAATGGATTGTGATGGACATTTGTTCATTCATGGTCACCAGAGGATCAATCCAGCTACTATTGGTTATTCTCTGACTTTCACCCTAGTGCTACTATGAGTTTGACACTCTGGTACCCAGAGGATAAATCTAGATTATCTTGGTGATCCCCTTTCTTTTCATTTAGCACCACAAGCTGGTGAAACATGTCAACATCTACCTAATTGCTCAAACTTTGGCACAGATATTCATGGTCCCCAGAGGATCAATCCTGCTCTTCACTCTTCCTCTAGGACCACCATGAGTTGACTTTTTTGTTTTTTTGTATGAAATATCTCAGCAACTATTAGATGCATTGCCATGACCTTTAGTGTGGTTATCAATGGTCCCCAGAGGATGAACCCTAATGATCTTGGTGATCCCCTTTCTTCTCATTTAGCACCACAAGCTGGTCAAAATTTAAAAAAATATCTGGTGAAACATGTCAGCATCTACTTGATTGCACAAAATTTGGCACATGTATTCATGGTTTCCAGATGATGAACCCTTCGTGACTTTGGTGATTCTCTGACGTTTTCTCTAGCGCCACCATGAGGTTGACATTTGTAGTTTTGAGTTAAATGTCTCAACAACTATCAAGTGGATTTCCATGACATTCGGTACAATTTTACCTTGGTGTACACAATGGTATGGGTTGATGAACATAATCTATACATAATTGATATTCACCACTCATAATGTTTCAATATTTCTTTAGCATTGATCGATGATCAGGGCTCTTATGAAGGAAAATGTCACTTAGGATTAGAGTATATGCTTCATCATTATGGACTGCCAAAAGATATTATTATTATTTTAAATAATGGCAGTTGTACGCTACATTTTCCAAACATTACTTACTTACTTACAAATCTACCTCCTAAATCCAGAGTGTAAATCTGTGCGTTTTTGTCACCAGTAGGTTGGATTTGTTTGGTTCAGATTTAAAGCTCTGGATTAAATTTGGTACAAGGAGTCATGTTCCTCACAAGATGAATTAGGTCATCCCCTGGCTTTCCACTTAGAACCATCATCACATCAAAATTTCAGTTTATCCACTCCTTTGGTTTATGAGCAACTACCTCAAAAACTAATGTCATTTATCAGCCTCAGCTGTGCTTGTGTTCAGTTCTAATAACCACATTTTTACCTCGCTGTACACCTGATAACATTAACATTGACATTGTGTGAGAATGCTAGCATGCTAGCGTTAGCATTCAGTTTTATTGCTTCTGTGCTGTCCAGTCTCAAAGACTGGCTGGTATGGCTGTTTGACTGTTGGTCTTGTTTTTACATAAAATATGACTTGACTTAATTAATCATGGACAAATCCAGATGCTTTGAAGGTTTGTGGTTTGTGGCTTTATGCCGACAAGGTTGTTTCTTGTTTCTGCACCAACACAGTTTCTCCGGGAGTAGCTGAAGGATTTTTGTAAGTCATGTACCTTAGATTTAAGGCAAAGGAAGGTTTTTTTTCCTGGACAAATACCACAGATAAATCTGACACTGCGGTGAGCACTGTGGTTCATACTGTTCCACAGTGCACACCAGCTCTCAACAGCTTGGCCTTCTCAAACCCCACCCCCACCCCCCCACCACCCTCCCCTTGCCTTGTCCTCCCCAGTCTACGTGGGTGGGCCCTTGTGGGTTTGACTCCCACCACAGACACTGATGCTCAAAAAGGTCCTGTTATCATTTCATCCCTCCGTTCAGTGTCAGTCTGCTGTGAAGAGTAATCTGTGTCTGATGTTTCGCAGTGTGCATGTTGTTCAGGGATGCCGTAGGTGGATGGTGGATGTTGTTTTTAGTGGTGACAGATACCAATGGGGGGGGAGGGCGGCGATGGGAAGGGTCAGGGTGGGTGCGGAGCCGAGAGTGGTCTCCAGTGTAACAAACTGTTCACCATTGTCGACTCTCGGCTCCCTCGCTGGGTATATTGGCTGCCTGGGGAGTTTGTAATGGAGAAACAAATTTGTTCTCAGATAAGATGCTACACGGGTGGCTGAATCTTCTCAAACAAAAACAAACTTTTAAGAGCTTTCCTGAAGGAGGATGTTAAAGGAATATTAATCACGGCTTTAGGGAAAATCAGAGAGGGAGGCAACAAATTGAAAGACATATTTTATTTCAGCTATGCTTTCCCAGTTTTTGTAGTTTTTTTCCATAAAACAACCACATGTGCGAAAATTCAGGTTTGAGATACAGTGAAAACAAATAAAAATCTTTATATTCAAGAATGATTGAATCAGATTGATTCTGATTTCAGTCTTTAAAATTGAAGAATGAAGGAAGTGGTCCTGAAGTTTTTCCTATAAAGCTGTTTTACTGGACTGGGTGGCAATGCTCCATCCATCATCATGTCGTTAGCAGGCGAGTCCCAGGAAATCGCAGGATTTCTAATTGTAGGATCCGTGGATATTCAGAGCGGCTTCACCATGGTGATGTTTATTTGTTGTCCTGAAATGCAAAAAGGGGGCTGCCTGTACCATACAGTGGGCAATAAAAAACTACGCATTCACCTTGGCATTTTGCTGCATTTTACTGTGCCACAAAATGAGTTTAAAACCTGTTTATTGGGGAAGATTTCTATCAAAAATAGTGAAAATGCATGACATTTATGTGCAAATCCAATGGCTATGAAAAATCTATTTAGCTACCGTTTTGCTCACTTGGGCTGATGTGGCCACGATTCATTCATGAGTAGATTTTAGGTCGACACAGTCTGAGGTTTACAGTTTATTCTTGACCTTGGAAAAAAAAACAGCAGTTGAGATGTTGTTTCTACAAGACAGTTGTCGTTGGACGTCCCGGTGACATTGAAATAGGCTGCTACCATCATTAACTGGCATTTTTTTTTTTTAGCTATTATTCAAAGGTATACAATATTTATTCTGCAGCTTTATACATCTTATACTTCCAAAGTCCTACAATGGTCCAACTCACTGACGTCTATAAGATGTTTTAACTGTGTCATCTTCAAGACGAAGGTTCGTCCTCGCGTGACATACAGAGCCCGTAAACGTGAAAGTATCCGCCTGAAAGTGCCGACCTGTCGAGGGTGTATCCCGCCACTGCTGGGAGTGGCGATGATGAAGATCAAGGGTTGTGATATAATAGAAAGTTTCAGAATTAAAGCTACTAA